CTGAGTGGCCAGATTATTATGACCACCTGACGTTTGTAGGCAAATTAGATATAATTCCGCGCTGAAGTTGCTAGAGGGCCAGACCGCTTCAAGTTCATCCTATCATGTTGATGGGCGTCTCCCAATGGAGATGGCTTCTTCCAAAAAGACAATGCGCCATGCCACAGTGCTCATATTGTGCAGGAGTGGTTTCAAGAACATGAGGGAGAATTTACCTTGCTTAGGTGGCCCCCACAATCACCAGATCTCAATCCAATTGAGCATTTGTTGGACGAAGTTGAAAGAGCCATCAGGCAGCTGGTTCCACAACGATCAAATCTCACAGAACTGGACAGTGCTATTCATCAGGCATGGTGTCAGATTCCTTGCATCACCTTTCAACATCTAGTGGAGTCAATGCCAAGAAGAATCGCCGCAGTATTGAAGGCAAAAGGTGGCCCAACGAAGTACTGATGGGGGTGGTCATAATAATCTGGCCACTCAGTGTATAAGGGCCCTAACAGCTCTAGTTTGTGTCCAATCACCTGATGATACCTGTATATTAACTTGTGGTCTCAAAATTTGCCTTTGTCCTGTACTATACTCCAAGAAACAGATTATACTAGTACCGTATTTGCCGGCGTATAAGGCGACTGGGTGTATAAGACAATCCCCTAATTTTCCAGTTAAAACATAGGTTTTGGGCTATATTGGTCGTATAAGACTACACCACTTCCGAGGCTTCATATTTCCTCCTTCTTGCTGGAGCCATGATGGGGTCTTGTCTACCAGCCATTTTGTTTAAATACACCCACTAATCTGTCAGCCCGCTGGATGTGCGGTAATACTGTATGTACGGTAGCTTCGGCTACATACAGTATACCGCGCTGAGCCAATCACGGCGAGCGATGTATTCTATTAATGAATACAAAGCCTGCTCGGATTGGAAGAGGTTGTGTACATTGGTTGCCGTGATTGGCTCAGCGCGGTATACTGTATGTAGTCGAAGCTACCGTAAAACAGTATTACCGCACATCAGGGGCGGATCCAGAGTCTATTCTCGGGAGGGGCACTGCCAGAAAATTAAGTTTTGCTTACAGAACGGTTAATATTAAGCCGGCCAAACAACATGCAGCCGGCTTCCCTGGCGATCAGGAAGCCGGGCGGCATGTCATTACCCACTGCCGGCTTCCTGATTACCAGGAAAGCCTGCTCCATGCCAGTGGAAGCACCGGTATTGGTATTCAGTATCGGCAAGTACCAAAAGCAAAATATCGGTACTATCACTTGATACCGAAAAACCAGCATTGGTGCATTGCTAGTTTTGATTAAAACATTTTTTTTTGTATTGGGACAAGTAGATTGTCAAGAAGGGCAAGTAGATTCACCCCCCACTTTAGCCTTTGGACAAGTAGTTTTAAAAAAAAATGTCCACACCCCAGATTACACAACAATGCAGAATACCATCAGCTATAGAGGACTACAAATCCCAGCAATAATACATTATACTGCAATGCAGAATAGCATCAGCAATAGAGGACTACAAATCCCAGCAATACCAGTATACAGCAATGCAGAATAGCATCAGCAATAGAGGACTACAAATCCCAGAAATACATATTACATCAATGCAGAATAATATGAAGCTCTGGGTTCCCCGCCTGATGTCTCCAGGGTCTCAGGAGGGTTGTGCGGGCTCTCACCTGGGGTCCAGAGAGTTTCACAGGTGCGTGTAGTTGCAGCAGAGGCGGCTCCCTAATTAGGCTCTCAGGTGGCCAATGCAGATTGTCAGGTGATCAGTGCAGGCTCTCTGCTGGTCAGTGCGGGATCTGTGGTGGCCAGTGGGGGCTCCATAATATTTAGTGGTGGCTCTGTGGTAGCTCCCAGGTGGGTAGTGGGGGCTCCACTGTGGCCAGTGGGAGCTCCCTGGTGATTAGTGGGGTCTCTGTGGTGGCCAGTGGAGGCTCCCTGGTGGCTAGTGTGGGCTCCTTAGTGTAGGCTGACCATCAATCCATAATTTCTGGGGACAGTCCTGACAAATTATGTCCCCGGAAATATAAAATAAAACATTTTTGTTTTTTAATTTTCACCTGATCTTTGGATCCACCGACAAGCCCAGCCTTCCATCTCCCACGCTGTCAGAAGCTGCATACAGCGTGTGCTGGTTGCTACTTAAACCGGCGCGCTGTGTGCAGCTTCTGAGAAGATACGCTATTAGCATAGCGAGTAAGCAGGCTGCACATTTTGCATCGCTCCCGCTACGCTAATTCTCAGAAGCTGCACATAGCGCGCGCCAGTTTTAGTAACCAGCACTCTCTGTATGCAGCTTCTGACAGCGGGAGACGGGAGGCTGGGCTTGTCGGTGGATCCAGGGATCAGGTGAGTATTAAAAATTAAAATATTTTATGTTCCCGAGGACATGTAGCGCTCATTCACACTGGAATCGGCAGGCACGTACAGCTCTGTGCTGCGTGCACAGCCGTATTGGGCAGTTCCCGGGAAGGACAGGTGCTGCGTGTGATTTGTACGCAGCCCCTGTCCTTCTCTATGGGAGTATGCAGCCGTACACCCCCCTACGCTGGGAGAAAGAGAGGGATGCTTTGTCCTTTGCAAATACTTCCCCCCCACCTCAACGTCGGGCCGCTATCATTCAGTTTTGTACTGTTGTAGAATCAGCACAGTAGCAGCAAGCAGCTGGTGCCCAAGACTGAATAGGGGCCCAACGCTGAGGTGGGGGAAGCCTTTGCAGAGGACAGCAGCTGTCCTCTGCAAAGACTTTCCCCACCCCCACGTTGGGCCAATATTCAGCCCTGGGCACCAGGCCAGCTAATTGCTGCTACTGTACTGATCTCTGCAAAGGCTTCCCCCATCTCAGCGTCAGGCCCATATTATTCAGTTTTGGGTACCAGCTGCTTGCTGTTACTGTTGCAGAATCAGCACAGTAGCAGCAAGCAGCTGGTGCCCAAGGATAAATTGGGGCCCAATGCTGGGATAGCCTTTGGCTTCCCCCACATCGGGCCCCTATTCTGCCTTGGGCACCAGGCCAGCGAATGGCTGCTACTGTACTGATCTCTGCAAAGGCTTCCCCCATCTCAGCGTCAGGCCCATATTATTCAGTTTTGGGTACCAGCTGCTTGCTGTTACTGTTGCAGAATCAGCACAGTAGCAGCAAGCAGCTGGTGCCAAAGGCTAAATAGGGGTCCAATGTTGAGGTGGTGGAAGCATTTGCAGAGATCAGTACAGTAGCAGCTGGTGCCAAAGGCTCAATAGGGGTCCGACGCTGTGGTGGGGGAAGCCTTTACAGAGGACAGCTGCTGTCCTCTGCAAAGGCTTTACCCACCCCCACCACAGCGTCGGGCCCCTATTCAGCCTTGGGATCCAGGCCAGCTGCTTGCTTTTAGGGCTTGTTCACACCAAAAGCGTGTGCGTTCCAGAGCGGTAGCTGCTAAAACACACTGCAATCACTGTGAAACTTCCCCCCACGTTTTGGGGCAGGAGGGGGCGTGTCAGTGCATTTAATTAAATTACACCGCTTCCACCCCCGCAGTGCGATCGAACGTGTGGCACAACTTTGCGTTTTGGGGTAGCTTGGCCCAAACGAACTAAAGGTTCACATTGTATACCCCGCGTATAAGACGACCCCCGATTTTCGGGGGGGGGGGGGGGGGGGG